ACTTCCCATCCCATCTATATGTGGGTCCTGGGGCAGCCCAAGGCACGTTTGCAGTCTGGACTGCAGAGAACTCCTCGTCCTGGGAGCCTCAGGCAGGGCCCACTGCTTGGGTCACCTGAAGACACAGCTAAGAGGCACTCCTGTCAGTGCAGTGGGAGGGCTTGTCAAGGTATGTCACCTGGGTATGCTAGGACCAAGTCACACATTGCTGGGTTTCAGCTGGACACACACAACCATCCACAGTGTCTAGGCTGCCCTCCTCTCCGCAGATCTGGGTGTGTCTGTCTCCTGCCAGAGGGAGAAGAGCAAAAAGGAGGGGAAGAGAACTGGAAAACCTACACGGACACAGGCCAGCTCTTTTAACAGAAAGAGTGAGAGAAAAATAGAACTGATATTAGAAAACAGAAATAAAGGAATATAAAAGCTTTCATGGTCACTAGAAAGGAAGTTTTGACACAGGGGCCAGGGATGGAGCCAGAGTGGGATTCTAACTTCACACACTGCCTAGTTTGGGCGTGTCCCCTGACACGGAGACCAGACCATGCCATCCTCACCCCAGGACAGACCACCTCAGAGGCCACGTCTGCAGGGAGGGGTGCCAGGCAGTCACCCACCAGATCACAGGAGGAGGCCTTAGCCTGTAGACACCCCGAATGAGGACAGCACCCACAGCTGCCACCAGGTGACGCTGATCTAGGGACAGTACATCTCTTGGAAGCCACTCCAAAAGAAGAGGAAACACAAAAGCCTGCAGAGTGTGATGCCTTCTACCTTGTATTCCCATGTCTAGTTAAAATGGCTTTTCAAATGAATTTACATTCGAGCTTTGATGCAGGCAAGCATTTGATCTCAAGACAGTCACAGCTCTGTGCCTCCCAGTTAATTCCCCACCTGTACAATGAGGTGAATCATCCCGTGGGGCTGAGAGGAGGAGAAAACCGATGATACATGGGAGGTCGAGGGTACAGAACACAGCAAGTGCTTATAAATAGGAGCCACCAACACTATCCGCATTCAACAGGACTGGTGTTTGGTAGGTTTCTGTGAATTCAGTCATAAGTCAGCGAAAAGTCCTGTATCAGCCCACCGTTTCAGACAGTGAGCTCTCACACAGCTGAAGCCTTCCCCGCATGGAGGTCAGAGGGAGGCTCCGGGTGGGTGGTAGCTCTGCTGATCTCAGACTGGGACAAAGGGGGAAGACTGATGTCCACCCCAGAAGACAGAGTGCTTGCTGTGGCAGCAGGAAGAAGGACATTTGGCCTGCAGGCTGCCCAACACCCAAAGTGTTAAGCTACGTTGCAGCAAGCAGGACTTGGGGACATGGCTTTGGGAGGAAGGAATTCTTTCTTCCTCTCAACTACTGCCAAAATCACTAAATTCAGAAAGTCTTCCACATTCCCAAGCAGCGTTAAAACACAGTTGCAAAAGTCCTAAATCATGGTCTTTGCTTACTAACTACCTCCGAGCTGCAAGTGAAGACTGCACCAAGGGAACATCCATCTGAATTGGACATGGGTAAATCCTGTCTATTTCTGCTAATGGGAACTCCTGATAGAGATCTGGGAGGGATTATCTAGACTTCAATTGTCTGGGCTCAGCCAGTGGTCATTTTCCTAAGATCCTGAGGCTGTCCTTTGGTCCCCGCCATCAAGCCTGCTCTGTGGGCGGCTGTTTTTCTAAGCCTCTGCCCAGCATTAACTGAGAGACCATGCAGGTTTGCAGGAAACTTGGGAGGCGGCCCGCAATGGGTATTGTGCCTGGCATCACAGACAACAAACACTGAGAAAGACTTGGCAGCGGAGGGCTACTCCGTGGCACACTCCGGGGCCCTGCGGTGAGCTCTTGGGGATGCACTCCTCCACGGCCACTTGATGGTGTATCACTGGATGCTCTGGACTCCCAAGGTCCCTCTGCATTGGGCGCTGACCTGGGAATGGCCACGGACCACTCACTGCTCACACCTACAGGAGCTCAGGGTTTAGGTGGAGACGCAGCGGTGACACACACCGTGAAAAAGCGAGCAGAGGGGAGACAGGCTTCAAGCTGAGCGCTGTGCCCTAATTCCATCGTGAACTCACTCCAACCTGTTAGTTTGTGGATACCAGACTCCATATTAATTTTAAACTTAGCTGTATGCAACTTGCTGGGGAAAAAAAGTGGTTCTAGATTTTAATCTGGATACTTATGAGGGCACCAGAAAAACATCACTGCTGGCTTCCTGCCTTTCTCACCAAGGGGGCCATGATGGGCTCCTCCTTCATGGTCAGTGACGAAGGTCAAACGGCTACGGGACATCAGGTAAGAAATCTGCTTCCCCTGTACCAGCTGGGATCCCACCCCAGCAGAACGGTCAGGAGGAGTTTCCAGAGGGAGGCCAGTTCTAGGTCAGAGGCAACAGGGTCAGAAGGTGATCAAAGGAGGAATTTCAAGGCTTAGCATGGGATAGTGGAGGTCAGGGGAGAAGAGGAGAGATTTCCCCAGAGCTACCTGGATCCTCAGCTCTTGCTGCAGGGTCTCCAGCTGCATCCCAGCGCTCAGCAGGTTTCTGTCTCTCTGGGTCTTAATCCCATCACTGATTCAAAGATCCAAGGAGACAACCACAACGTTATTAGAAAGTTTGCCTACCGTATTTGTGGGCCCCTGGAGAGGGTGGGCACACACCCCTGTCTTTGCTGGAGCACACACTCTGGGAAAGGCTACTGGCCTCCCACACAGCAATCGAACCAGAAGTCCAGATACCAGCCTTGTACTTACACAGGTGATGCCACTGTCTCACTTCATCTTTTTTTGTGTGTGTGTCTTTTTCCTTTTTATCGGTACCAGGGATCGAACTCACGACTGCCTGCTTGCAAGGCAGGTGCTTATGTCGCTGAGCTAAATCCCAGGCCCCTCACTTCATCTTTTGAGTCCTACAAAAATTTCTCTCTCATTCACAGAAGAAAGATTGAGATTTTGGGGTTTTTTTTCCATTCTTCTTCTCATTTGATAACACAGTGGGGTTCTGTTCTAGGCACCAAGGCCCCAGCACTGAACAAGACAGCTAGGGATTCTCAGGGAACCTAACTAGTCAGAGTACATCTTGCTAGTTATCAGGTAACCGAATTAGCTGAATACAGACTGCTCCCTCTCCAAAAGGGCAAGTCAGGCCAAAGTCGTGCCTCCCAAACTATAAGCAGATATCACACCCAGCGGGGCTTCTGACAACCACTCAAGTCTAGGCTCATAAAAGAAGCTAATTCCTCACCAACGCCATCAGCTACCACCCTCAGGAAAGGAGCAAGACCCTACCGCCCCTTCTTTTGAACTGAACCACCAAGACATGGACTTCTCCTCCAGGTGCCTACCATGCTGTATCTTGGGAAGACGGGGAAGAACAGACGACCAGGGGGAAGTTACAGCGTGGGTCAGCAATGCCAGATGTAGTAGGTGAGTAGGTACCGGAAAAGTCTTGTGGGATTGGGAGACGGCCACGCCCCATGAGGCTAAACCCCTTCAAGGCTGACAGCTCTAACAAGCTGACAACTCCAACTGGTCAGCACAGTTCCCGTGGACACCCCTAGAGAGGGTGCTGAGACCTGTTTGCAGAGGGTCTCAAATGCCCTCCCGGAGACCTCTTTCTCCTGCTGCTGGGTTGAATAGTGACCTCTTCACCATTCACACTCACCCAGAACCAGAAGGTGACTATACTTACAAATAGGGTCTTTACAGACAAAATGTGTTACATTGTGGCACTCGCCTAGTTGAGTGAGCAGGCAGAGGTACAGATCCATGGACAATGTGAGCATGCGGTGAGAAAGCTGCAAGCTGAACAGTGCCAAAGGCTGGCGGCACCCGCCAGAATTCAGGGACTAAGAAGGGCAGAGGCCCCTCTAGAGCCTTCAGAGAGAGAAAGAACAGGCCCTTGCCAGTGCTTAATCTCCAATGTCTAGCTTCCAGGGTGACAAGGGAAGGAAATGGCTGCTGCTCGGAGCCCTCTAGTCTGGTACCCCAGCATGGTAACTCCAGGAAACCCATCCACTCCTCTCCTTCACACCCGGGCCCCACACCACGTTTCTGTCTCAGCCAGGCCAGGCGCAGTGGGAAAAACACAGACCTGGGCCTCGGGTCCCCTGGCCCCTGTCTCTGGCTGGAGCACAGGCATTGCATTTCAGCTGCCCACCTCCTGCCAGGAGGCAAACTGGCAGGGGAGTTTTTGTTTTTTGTCTCAGTCTTTCAGTTTTGTAGTCTCTTTCTTCAATGAGAGTTTCTTAAATTTCAATCATTGGGTTTCATCATACACACTCACGCGTACACACACACACTCGCGCATACACACACACATGCACACACACACTTGACCAAGCACTCCCAGCTCTACCATCTGCCTAATATTTCATTACATCGAGTTACTATCTTTACTTAAATATATTTATTTCAGGCAAGTGCTCTACTACTGAACTATACCGCTAGCCCAATGGATTTACTGCGGTACCTCAGTTCACAAACTGAATTCTTTCCATGATCCTGGTCGCAAATCAAGTGGGACAAGAACTGAATCAAATTTAACGATGAGGTTCAATGTTGACCTTATGGGGAAATTTGTTTCGGTTCTCATTCAATTCGGTTTGTGATCTGAATCACAGAAAGAACTAAGTTGGTGAATCGAGGTATTTTAAAAGAAACTGCTACGTCATTACTTTGATAAATAGGAAATCAGCGTTAATATATAGAAATGTGTGGGTGTATATATATATACACACACATGCTGCACATGTCAGCAAATCCACAACCTTAAAAGTCTTTTAAAATTATACGGAGGTGGCAGCACTATGGGGAAATTGGGAGCTCGTGGCTCTCCTGGTCAAAAAAAGTGCCTTCGAGTTTCCCAGCCTCCGGTCCCACGCCCCCCACCCGGGCATTCCGGGAGTCGAGTGCTCGCGCCAGGCGATCCGAGGACGCGGAGTCAGCAGCGAGGCTGAAACGCCCAGTCCCGGGGGTGACACGCACCGGGAGGGACTGACCTTCTCGCGCAGGGTGCAGTGGACGTCCGAGGCGACGCGTCCTTCCCACCAGGGCTCATCCATCATCGCGACTGCAGCGCGGCGCCGCGCGGCTACCGGGGTCTCGGGGCGCACCCTGAGAGGACACGGGAGCTTCAGCGTCGGGGCGCCCCGCGCCCTCGGGGGGGCCCCATCGCCGCTCGCGCCGGCCGGGCGCCCCCTCGCGTTGGCTGGCGCTGGCGGTCGCCTCGACCCCGGGTGGCTGCGGTTCCCCCTGCCCTGTGCCCTGCACCCGCGGCGAACTCCAGCTCGGGGACGACTCCCAGGATCTGTCTCCCCTTCTGCAAAAGTTGCAGGGAAAGTTGCCGAGCGCACAGCTCGCCGAGGCCGGGGCTCCGGCGGCGCCACGGGCTCGCCGTCCGCAGCCCTCCCCCTCCGCCCAGCCTTTGTCCTGCTCCCACATCCTGCCCTTAGTCGGGGTGAGACTCACGCATCCTCTCCCGGCGTGGGGGCTGCGGGGCCGGGCCCCTCCCCGGCCGAGCCGCGGGGCCCTCGGTGCCCGTCCGCGGCGGCCTCGTCCCCGGCGCTCGCGCTGCCGGCCGCCGCCGCCTGCACAGCCCGGCTCGGCTCCCCCGCCGCGCAGCGCCGCACCCCTGCGTGCGCCCGGGTCCCGCCGCGGCTCGCAGCTCCGGCCGCCGGGGCCTCCCTCTCCCGCCGGGGAATTGGGGGCCGGGCCTCGCGCATGCGCCGCTCGCACCCGCGCCCCGCGGGGCTGGGGGCTGGGAACGCAGCCTTTCTCTGCCCCGCGCTGCTTGGGTTTCCTGCCCCCCCTCCTCCCTGCCGGGGCGGAAAGCTTCCTCTCACCTTGGCGGAGATTCTTGGGGGGCTGCAGGGCACCCCGCCAGCTTGCGCGGGGAGCGCGGGGGCTGGGCGACACCTGCGCGCAGCCCTCGGGAAGCGCGATGCCCCCTAAAGTTCTCCCGCGTGCGCTGTGCTGGCCAACCTGCGGCCGGTCCACCTGTTTTTGCTTTTTGTTTTACAATCTGTCCCGCGATTAGAAGGTGGATTTCCAAACCACATTTCCCACAAAAGCTCCAGAAAAGCCACCCTTAGTTATTCACGAGTTCCCCACGGGATGGGGGCTCTCGCGAAGTCGCCGGTAGTTATCGTGCTCCTGCATGGTGCAGATGGATCCGCGCCCTACAGCGGCGAAGAACAAGCCTTCTTGGAACCCTGCGGGGGGCGTGGGGGTGGGCAGCAGTGTTTTTTACATTTAGTTGATTGTGTTTAGCAAAGCGCTTTCGTGAATGAGCCAACCTGAAGGCACAGCACTGGGCTGTCCTGATTTTTGTGACACAGTAGCTAGCGAGCTTTGCAAATTTGGGATCTGACTAGGGGATTTTTGGCAAGTTTCTCACACACTGAGATCACATAAAATAGGAATACAACTTGCTGAAGATACTGTCATTAAATGAGATAATGCATGCAAGATAATAAACATTATGCCAGATATAACGTGAATACTCTGTATATACCACAAAAAAGCATTTCGTTTTTGTCTGGTTTTCTACAAGAAGACCTGCCTGGGGAAAAAATTTAAAGTCAGTTTTGATAAGCTTCAATTAAACCTTGAAAAGTACTTTTAACACAAAAAGCTTATTAGGTTTTTGTTTGTGTTTTTTGAGATAGAGTCTTGCTATGTATCCCAGGCAGGCCTTGAACTCACGTTGTAGCCCAGGTTGGCCTCTAATTCTGAGCGATCCTCCTGCCTCAGTCTCCTGAGTACTGGGATTACTGGCCAATGCTACCACTCCTGGCATGAGCTCTTTTTAGAGTGTAAAATACCTCAGAATAAATTTAATAAATGTGCAGAGTGTTAACAAACTACAAAGATGGAACGATAATAAGCCAGCCCTGAAGGGAAAGAAGATTATAAAAACGCCAGCTTTCCCTAAATTATTCACTAAAATTCCATTGGTTCTGGGTAGAGTAGGGGCTTAACAAGTTTTCTAATATTCAAGTGCAAGGATATAGCTGAGAAAAACTAAGAAAACTAAATTTTTTAAAAATGTGGAGATAGGCCTGTATTTTAATTAAATCTTAAGGCATACTGCAGCACTTCATAGCGTTGGCTGGGCATGGGGCAACAGCCTGTAATCCCAGGACTCAGGAAACTGAGGCAAAAGGATCGATGCCAGCTCAAGACGCATGCATTTCATCCCAGCATTCTGGGAGGCTGAAGCAGTACAATCACAAATTGGAGCACAATACTGCATGAACAACAACCAAATCAATATAAAACAAATCTCGGTGTAGTGTTGACATGGGAATCCATACATTAAATATTTTTAAAAATCCACTGAATGCTAAGTGTGTCATTTCACTTTTATAGGGAAAAGGAGAAATGGAACATCATTCAATAAAGTAGGCGAAATTGAGGAAAAATGTAAAACTATTTAAAATCATCACCAAAGTAAACATAAGAGCCAAAAACAAATAAAAGAGGGGTCAAAATTTCAATTGGTGGTAGAGTGCTTTCCTAGCATGAGTGAGGCCTGGGTTCAATCCCCAGCACAGCTAGCTAAATAAATAAATTGCAAGACAGTTAGAAGGAAACATAGGTGAATTATCCAAAAGGGAAGGCTTATTCGGGCATAGGAAGAAACCAAGAGCAAGGAAATGTATTTGAATAAATATTCAAGACTTAGGTAATCTAAGACATCAAACAAAAGGGCAAGTCACAATCGAAGAACATATTTTTATGAATGTCACAAAATAGACTGATCTCACCATATTGACCTCTGCATTCAGACCTCTGCATTCATCAACACCCTGCATTCAGAAATGGGTAAAGGTGGGGCTGGGGGTTTAGCTCAGCAGCATAAGCACCTGCCTTGCAAGCATGCGGTTGTGAGTTCTAATCCCTGGTACCGAGAAAAAAGAAATGGATGAAGAACGGCACCAAAGAAGATGTTCACGTGGATAAATATTTTTAAGTCCCCATACTCAGTTGTAACCACATTAGATTTTTTTAAGTGAGTGGAGTGCCACTTTGTCAAAGATTCTTAAAACCATAATACCTGAAGTTTGGCAAAACACAGTGTCATTAGGAGTATGAAAGAATAGCAAATTTCTGAAAAACAACATAAATCAAAATTTTAAAGGTGGATCACTTGACCCAATCATTCCTCTTCTGGACATTTATTCTTAAAAGATACAAACAGAGGAATACAAAGATTTATTTAGGAGGTGTTTCATCCAAACACTTCCCTTTCTTTTTTCTTTCTTGGTTGTGCCTGCACATGTGCTAGGTAAGTGTTCTCCTGCTGAGACACAGCCCAGCCTTTTTATTATAGCGAATAATAATAATCCCTGTTAGAACAGAGAATGGTGTTCTTAAAAATGAGCTGCTTCTTAAAAAGAACTTTTTTTTGGTAGGTGGTGTTGTCTTTTGTTTTTCATTTTTGTTTTGGTTTTGGTCTTTTTGAGTTCAGGCTGGCCTTGAACTTACTTCGTAGCCCAGGCTGGTCTCACACTTACAACAATCCTCCCGCCTCAGCCTCCTGAGTGTTGGGATTACAAGTGTGCACACCACACCCGGCTGTTGTTGTGTTTTTGGGACAAGATTTTACTATGCAGTCCAGGCTGGCCTAGAAGTCACTATCTAGCCCAAACCGCCCTCCAGCTCACAGTGATCCTCTTGCCTTAGCTTCCCAAGTGCTGGGATTATAAGCATGTACCACCACGCCCAGCTTAAAAAGCACTTTTTAAAAAGAATACATAATGAACTTTGAAATGTTCACAATACAGTAAGTAAATAGGAGACTAGAGTGTGTCTGTTATACTGCATTTGTCCATGTTCACGAGGACATGAAAGACATTGAAAAACATCCATAAAAACACTAACAGTAATCAGAGAGGTAGAATTATGGGCAATTTTAATTTACTTTTTTTCTAGTGTGTCTGTGTTCTGTAAATTTTCTACAAGGAAGAGGTGTTGCTTTCATAATCAGAAAAAAAAAGAATGTTAGTTTTAAATAACCATTATACATATAGTTTTAAATAACCACTATATATATAGTTTTAAATAACCACTATATATATATAGTTTTAAATAACCACTATATATATATAGTTTTAAATAACCACTATACATATAGTTTTTAATAACCACTATATATAGCTTCAAATAACATATATATATATGCAGCTTGGTGTTTTATTTTGCTTTGTTTTTCCACAGCAGTATTATTTCTTTTTCGTGCACTTCCCTGATGGGCTCAGGGAAAGAAGAAAGGCGTTTTTAACTCACTAGTTTATAGCCTCCCTTTCCTACTCTTCAGCTATCGGTAGTTATCAGGCATGCTGATAAGTGAGGAAGTACACAGGCTTTGGCTTTTCTCCAGGGGCTATTTTAAGAGACTTCTAAACATACTCATTCTGCACTCTTTTGTATGTCATTCTCAGGAGTCCCTCTTTCCCCAGTATCTGTGAAGGGTAAAAATACATTGCACCAATAAACTGACAGTTTTGGTGATGAGTCACTGTGCTGGTGGCTCCCGCAGAGGGAGGTGTCTTTGTATTCTGCATCCACAGCCAGGCCAGGAAGAAGCATTTATCATCCATCTATCCATCTGTCCATCCATCCATCCATCCATCCATCACTCACTCACTCACTCACTCACTCACCAATCCCTTTATCTATCTGTCCATCCATCCACCCACCCATCCATTTAGCTATCCATTCATCCTTCCATTCACTCATCCATCTATCCATCTAACCATCCATCCACCCACCCATCCCTTTATCCATTCATCCAGCCATTCGTCCACCCATTCATCCCTTTACCCTTCCATCCATCTATCTGTCTGTCCATCTGTCCATCCATCCACCCACCTACCCATCCATCCTCCCATCCATTCACTCATCTTTCTACCTACCTGTTCACCCATTCACTTATTTAAAAACTAAGATTTCATTAAGTGCTCATTATGGATCAATTACCACCCCTCCTCCCAGACTCATGGATTGGGAACCACAGACCTAAAGTAAATGCAATTTACCTATCTTGAAACTGTCCACGAATAAAGTATGTGTGTGGGGTAACTCTACCCGTTCCAATTTTCCTAAGAGACAAATTAGTCTATTGTTTCCACTGTAGTGTTAATGTAGAGGCTGCTAACTTTGTAGTAAAATTCTCTTTCTGTCTGTTTTTTCCCTTCACAACACTGACTCTCAATCTAATGAAATGTGCACCTGTGCCAGGTTGCACCGTCCTCCCCAAAGATATCACTTTATATTTCCTTGAAAAGTGACCTGCGTGTTCGCCAGCACAGATGCCTATACTGACTCATGGTGGCATTCTCACAGATGCAAGCTGGCTCCTAGTCTCACAGTACGGTCCATCGCGATGCATGGACCTAGTCTTTTGCTGGACATTGAGACTGTTCCCACCACTTCGCTGTCGAGCCTCACTGCAGTGAATGCTCTGGGCAGGGGGGTCAGTGACATAGATTCTTTCAACACAGCTTGTCAGGGAAAGTTGAGGGATATACTTTCATCATCTTTCCACGGTGTCTTCATGGTATTCATTGTTCCATTTAGGACCCAAACTGAGCAGCCTGGCTTGGTTTCTAGGGACAAGTAGGAAGACATCTGTCTTTCTGCCAGTTTGGGCTTTAACCAAAAAACCAAGCTAACCCCTTTCACTGTACTAGCTGTGTGCCCTACGTAGTCAAGAGGACACTTGCCAAGTCCTTTATGGTCCTTATCTAGAAATTCTGGGGCTATTCCTGCAGATTAAACCTGAAAATCAGGCAGAAAAAATGAAAAAAAAATTAGTATTTTGCAAACAGAACCCAAAACCTATTCTTTTAATATTTATCCCTTTAAATTAAATTCTGAGGTAAAAAATCAAAGGGAACCAATGAGGATTCTCCCTCGCCCTGGGGCTGGCTTTACACATAGCTAGCTGTGTGTCTTACGCAGCTGCTCAGCACCCACCCTGTGCTCAGAAGGGCCCTGTGCTTGCCCTTGGTGCTCTGCTATTGTCATTTTAAAATTCACAAGGGTCTGCTTGGACCCTGGGTTCTGTAAACGAAGTCTGTCAGGGCAGCAGAGTATGCAGGGGAGCAAAGCAGATACATGCACCCAGTTCCTGTTGTCCAAGGGGGTCTCATTCTCCGGCCGCATCTCACAGGGGTGGAAGGCAGCTGTGTTGTGTCTGCAGGTAGCTTTTTACTGGTGGTTGTAGTGTGGGTGCACTGATAACTTCCAGAGCCTGAGCCTTCCGTTCGATCCAAAACTTATTTTTAACACAGAAGGAAGGTGCTAGCATCAACTAGAAACCTCTCTCAGTTCCGGATGCTGGAAATCCAGACGCTGCAGGGTGTCCGCAGGGCTGGTGGTGGCCAGGCATCTCTGTTGTTCCCTGGTCCACAGCTGCGTGACTCCAGGCTCCACCTCCAGCTTTGCAAGGCTTCCCTCCCACTGATCCTCACCTAGCCTGCTAGCAAGACTGCAGTCCTGTGGATAAGGACCACACTCTTCCCAAATGAGGTGACAGCTGGTATACTAAGTGTCTGTACTAAGTCTTTCGGGGAAACACCTTCTGCCTTTTTTGTCTTTTTGAGACAGGGTTTTGTTATGCAGTTCAAGCAGGCCTTAAACTCACTACGTAGTCCAGGCTGGCCTTGAACTTTTGAGGGTCCTCCTGCCTCTGTCTCCCAAGTGCTGGGATTACAGGTGTGTGTCGCCATGCCCAGCTGGGAAATTGGCCTCACAGGCAGTGGCGGTCTAAGTCACTGGAGTGACCAGGAAATCAGTCATGTGTTACTTTCGTGCGTTAGGTAACCGTGCATTATGACAGACAAAAAGGGAATTATGGGGCAATCTGTAGTTCCTTTTCTTTCAGCTCCTCTTTACTCCCCAGTCACCCAGAGGTACAAGTTGTATGAAATTTTTTATTTGCGTTAGTACACATGTGCAGTATACTGATTGCATTCGCTGTGGGGAGTATGCCACACATCTCGGTTCTGTCCACATCTCCCCTTTCTCCCTCTTCCCCACATGGTGACTGGATATGCATCTACCAAGAAGTGGAACAAAAACTGTGAAGTTTTGGGAAGCGTCTTCTACTAGTGTGGTTAAGAACTAAATACATATGAATATTCTAGCTACAAAATAGTATGTAACTTTGGTGATTCTTCACATGGGTAAACATCTGTAGTTTTGCATTTAAAACTAGCATTTCACAATACAATAAATGATAAAAATTCATGCTATTATTTAAATTTTTCTTTATGCAGAGCATTAAATAGGTTATTTTTAAAAAACCAACACAAATCAAGAGAGATTGAAAAGAGAAAGGCATAAAAATCTTTGGACCTGAGTGTCGATGTCCGCTCCCGGCCGGCAGGAAGGACACACGACAAAGTCTGGCAGTGGACAACCTTTTCTTTTATTTTTCTTCTCCGTACAGCCTGCCCTGGGATCGCTCCCAGCCGAAGCCTCCTTTGGTCCGCTCCCCGCGGCTCCTTCTGGGCTTCTACTTCCGGGCTTCTTCTTCCCCCCCCAGGGGTGGCACCAGTATATATACGGATACAGTGTCCAATCATGTTAAAGTAAGCAAGGCAAGCTGATTGGCTAACATCATCAGTTGCCAGGCAGACTATATTGTTGAGCGGGTTGCTTACGCGGTAAGCAGGAAACTAACGTGCTCGATGGGAGGGGTAATCTACCTCAGGCTTTACTCTTTACTACAGGCCTCACGTCCGCCAAGTGAGGCGACCGGGCTCGGGGCTGCGGCTCCCAACATCTCCCCCTTTTTTATTTTTTATGAATGTGCGCATCGTAGCCCTTTCTGGACTGGGTGCAGAGGCTTATGCCCTATGCGTAGGCCCACCGTAGGTCCTTGGCTTAGACCCTGGTCGGCCGTCCCATGGTCTGCCAAGGCCCTGAGGCCCTCGTCCTTTTTCTAGGGCCAGGCACAAACTGGACGGAACCTGGATGCACACAAGCTTGCACTCATTTCCTCTCCGTAAAGAAATCCCCTCGGAGAGAAATTTAGACCTGGGCAGCATCTAACAGTCCAGCGGCTTACGTGCAGGATGGGGTAGGGCCTGGCTTAGGTTGAGTCGCACCGGGGGAGTACGCTCTTACCCGTCATTGACTCTCCTACCCAGCTATGTCATAATTTTTTAGAGGAGGAGTGTGGGAAGCTCACCACCCCTAGACTCGGTCGTAGGCTAGGCGAGCGAGCCATGCATATGCCTGAGGATCTTCTTGTCCATTTCGGGCTACCGCTATTTCTATTCATCTTGTTGGTTGGTCTGTGATGGATCTCCGGTAGGGCAGGTCTGATCTTCAGTCGAGGGCTTTGTCGCCCGTGTCAGTCTCTCTGGTACCCACAGTGGTTCTCGTCCCGATTCCTGTGGGAAAACACAAACCGCGCCTCGGTTCCAGCTGACCACTGGATCCGGGCCCATCCATTGTCCTGTCAGGACATCTTTCCACTTCACCCACCCTTTATGGTTGGGGGAAGGGTTGCAGTGCTCCACGGCTGGGGAGCAATTATCATTATTTAAATTTTAAAAATTGTGTGTGAATAGTGCCATGGATAATCGTGCCTTTGGGGCCAGGCCTTGGCCTACTCCCCCTTTTTGTTTTTGTAAAATTTCTTTGAGGCTTTTATGAGCCCTCTCAATGATTCCTTGACCTTGGGGATTGTATGGGATACCATGTTTTAATTGAACCTCCATCATTTTGCAGAACTCATTGAAGGCTTTGCCTATATAGGCTGGTCCATTATCAGTTTTTAATATTTTTGGTTTGCCCCATGCGGCCCAAGCCGCCAGGCAATGATTGATCACATTAGACACTTTTTCACCTGTTTCTGCTGTTGCAAATATGACGTGAGAACAGGTGTCTGTGGAAACATGAACATATTTAAGAGTCCCAAACTCCTGTATATGTGTGATGTCCATCTGCCAAACATCACCAGGGATCAAACCTCGAGGGTTTACTCCCATCGGTATGGCAGGTTTGTATGTGGCACAGGAGTCACATAGTCGCACGATATCTCGTGCATCTGCTCTGGAAACATGGAAATGGTTTGCTAGTGTCCTGGCATTGACATGAAACTTATCATGGAAGGCACGGGCTCGCTCGATTGGTGTTAGTAAGGTAAAAATCCATAACGGGCGAGTGGCAGTATCAGCAGCCGCATTCCCCTGTGCCATGGGCCCTGGCAGGGATGTATGTGCTCTTATGTGGGTGGTGAAGACCTTATGGTGTCTGTTCTGAAGCAATGTCTGGATAGACAGGAACAGCCCAGCCACTGTGGAAGTGGATCTAATTAAAGCGGCAGTCTCAAGCACTTGCATAGCATTGACCACATACCTAGAATCGGAGACAATATTAATGGCTTCTGAGAACCGTTCAAGAATCATTTTAACGATCTGCAGTTCCACCACCTGAGGCTGATCAGGTTCAAATTGTATGGTAACCGGGGGCTTGCCTAGGATCACATAGGCGCCTATCCCCGTCTTGGAGCCATCTGTGTATATTGTAGTTGCTGGGACTAATGGCTCAGAGGCAGTAACCTTTGGAAAAATTATAGGGTGCTGAGTGACAAATGACAAGATAGGGTCTTTAGGGTATTGATTGTTTATATCCCCATGGAAAACACATCTCAGAATGGCCCATGTATCTATGCAGGCAGCCAGGGTCTTGATCTGGCTGGCGGTATAGGGTACTCGGATGGCTTGTGGTCCTGAGCCAAAATGTTGGACAGCTCTATCATGCGCTTCAAGGGCCAATGAAGCGACTGCCTCCGGGTAATGCTCTATGACTTTTGCAGGTGAGACCTTAGGGTGTATCCACAGTAATAGTCCTTTCTGCCAAATCACCGCTGTGGGCTGTAGACTAGTCTGTAGCAAACAGACATCAAAGGGTCGCCCTGGTTCAATTCTGTGTAAGGTAGCCCCACCTAAGGCTTTTTCCACTCTCTGTAAGGCAGCTCTTGCCTCAGGAGTGAGCCTCCTGTGGGAGGCTATATCTGGGTCTCCCTTTAGAAGGTCGAACAGGGGTTTGAGATCTGAATTTGGTATATGTAAATATGGCCTAATCCAATTAATGTCTCCCAATAGCTTTTGCATGTCATTTAGGGTCCTAACGCCATCCGTCCTAATGGTGACCTTCTGTATAAGTCTGGAGGCGACACTGAGGTCCACACCTGCTGACCCAGGGGTGGCCCTTGTTGAAGGCTGCCATCCTGAGCTGTCCTGTCTCTGGGGCGGGGGCCCGCCTGTGAAGGGGGCCCCCTCTGGCTGTTTTTTGGCCCTCTAGCATCTCGTCCACAAATACGGTTGCCCTGAGCATCAAAGACCGACCTACACTCCTCAGCTTTGTGTGATCCCCTCTTGCATCGCCCACAAACATATGGTTCTTCATTCCTAGGGCGAGGCCTAGCATCTGCATTGTTTGGGCAATGACGTTTAATGTGTCCTGGCTCCCCGCAGGCAAAACACCCTTTAGCCTTACATTCCCCTTCTAACCCGCGAGGTCCCCTCTGCTGTACAGCCGCGGCCAGGAGAGCAGCCACTCCCGAGTTGGAGAGCGGCCCCCCTATCTCTCTACATATCCTAATCCAGGCGTTGAGGTCCTTGTTCTTATGAGGAGCTATCGCTGCCTTGCACTCCTTTGTACATTGCTCAAAAATCAGCTGCCTTACCAGCGGTCGAGCCACTCCCGGATCAGAAAATATCTTATCGGCAGCATCTTGCATTCGGGCCATAAAGTCAACAAATGGCTCTGTGGTACCCTGAATTACTGGGAAAGAACCCTGCGACTCCTTATCGAGCGACTTAGGCTCCTGACAGCTGGTCTCTTTGGCCTCCTTGCCATTCAACTTTCCCTCGTCCTCGGAGTCAGACGACTCCGAGGCTAGAGCCCCGTCCTTCTCCTTAGCATCTTTGTTCCCCTTGACGGGCCCCTCTCGGGAGCTCCCCGACTGGGCCTGCTCAAATACCCTGCGTACTTTTGTAAGCTCTTGAGAGCTTTCTCCACAACCACCCTCGCTCTTAGTGTTGCTACCTAGCATGTTTCCCATCTTTTAATATGTTACTCACCGCGTGAGACCCAAGGAATCCGCCACTTACGCGTGAGCCTGAGGGGAGTCTAAAAGCCCTGTAGGTGCGCGCCACCCAGAGCCCAGGCTTATCCCCAACTCACCTGTCTCGCAGCTCTGTACTGGAGCGTTGTCCGCTGTCACGTCTCGGGGGTGATCAGTCCCCGTGCGGGCCTCCAAATGTCGATGTCCGCTCCCGGCCGGCAGGAAGGACACACGACAAAATCTGGCAGTGGACAACCTTTTCTTTTATTTTCCTTCTCCGTACAGCCTGCCCTGGGATCGCTCCCAGCCGAAGCCTCCTTTGGTCCGCTCCCCGCGGCTCCTTCTGGGCTTCTACTTCCGGGCTTCTTCTTCCCCCCCCAGGGGTGGCACCAGTATATATACGGATACAGTGTCCAATCATGTTAAAGTAAGCAAGGCAAGCTGATTGGCTAACATCATCAGTTGCCAGGCAGACTATATTGTTGAGCGGGTTGCTTACGCGGTAAGCAGGAAACTAACGTGCTCGATGGGAGGGGTAATCTACCTCAGGCTTTACTCTTTACTACAGGCCTCACGTCCGCCAAGTGAGGCGACCGGGCTCGGGGCTGCGGCTCCCAACACCTGAGTACTTTTTTTTTTTTTAATCTTTTTGAGATAGAGTTTTACTATGCAGTTGAGGTCAGCCTTGCACTTACTTTGTAGCCCAGGCTGACCTCAAACTGATAATGATCCTCCTGTTTCAGCCTCCCCAAGTGCTGGGTTTACAGGTGTGCACCAGCACGATCAGCCTTTGAGTGCTTTTTTTTTTAAAATTGGAATTCACAACTGCGTGCTTGCAATGCAGGCACTTATGAGCTAAATGCCCAGCCCTCTGAGTGCTTTTAACAGAACTTTCCTTAGCTTTTTTTTTTTTGTCCCAGGGATCAAACTCAGGACCTTGCACTTGCCAGGCAGGTGCTTATGTGGCTGAGCTGAATCCCAGCTTTCCTTAGCTTTTGAAGATATGGCCTGTTATTTTCATTTTGCAGTGGGTTCCACAAATTGCATAGCCAGTTTTGCTTCCATCTGACCCCTTCTGAGCATCATCTTGGAAGAAATGTATTTGTGTTTCCTTCCACAGATATTCTGTCCCCTCTTGGTTGCTCCCAACCTAAACCTCCATGGGTAATTGTCAGGGCAAAAAAATCTCTCCTTGCTTGTTTAAAAAAATATTATCTAGGTGTTATAGTACTTTTTAGTATTTTTGTCCATAAATATGAGAAAGTCAAGCTGGGAGAAAATCAAGATGCCTGTAACCCTAGTGATCTGGGGGAATGAAACTCCCAACTTACTATGTCTGGTATGAGTTTGTGTTCTCCAAAATCAAAGAATGAATTTTAGGAACAATGGAGGTGAAGAGTAGAATATATTTATAGAGAGACAGAAGAGGTCCCGAGCAGGTTGCCAAGGGCTCTGTCTTTTCTAGAGACTTACAGAGTAAAATCATGGGGTGAGATGGGATCAAAGTGGGGAAAACTGGGAACTCACAAATGGGCATAAGGTGGGACAGAACTATGTTTAACCAATAAGATTAATAGTTCAGGTAAAATTGATTACATTAGGGACAAATGGGAATCGAGTCAGGCAGAAAGTGGGCATTCTTAGAGAGCAGTGACTCTTCCCTTAGGGGGTTGGAATGGTGACTCCTGGCTTCCTCAGGGTGATAGGGATCTATTTAGAATATCAGTCTTAAGGATATGGGTGCATTTGCTTGATTTTTGTCTTGAGGCCTGGCCCACAGCAGGAAGTGCCTGTCCCCCCCATAGTTGCAGGGTATCTGGGCTTCTGCACTGGCTCCTTTGAGGACCTATCCCTGTCTCACTGCCTATAATATTTTTAACTAACTCAGCTGCCTGCAACACTAACACTCTGGGAGGCTGAGGCAGGAAGATCACAAGATCAAAATCAGCATGGTCAGTTTAGCAAGATCAAAATAAGAGATGAAAAAGGTCTGGGATGTAGTTTGGTAGAAAGACTGCCGTGGGTTCAAGCTCCAGTCCAGAGGAGTAAGGGGAGAGAGACAGGGAGAGAGAGAGAGAGTGAGTCCTGTCTCCTTTCCACCAGCTCACCTGAACCATCTCAGTTGAGTCTCACACATACTTGAAGACAGGACTGTGACTTTGTACCCCCAGCACCCAGCACAGTACTCAGAATAAGGGCCTGAGCCATGGAGGTTTACAGAATGAATTAATAAGCAGCAGATGCATGATAAACAGAACTGATGGGGTGGGAAGTGGAGTGGGGCTGAAAGCAACCACCTGGCCTCGATTTTGGACGGGAAGGTGTCATCGTCTCCTTTTCCACAAGACCCAGACAGTTCTGTGACCTTCCACTAGACACTTATGCTCTTGGGCCTTGATTTTATTAGTTACAGGGAGGTGCTACCCTGCCTTTTCAGGGTTGTGATCATTGAGAAAAGAGGAAATGTGAGTGACAGCTCTGTAAGGTGGTTTTGTCATTCATGCATGATAGCAACCAAACCCGCTGGAGCCTGCCCAAGTCCCTGCCCTCTAGAACCGGACAGGAGCTCTGCAAAAAGCCCGTGGGGGACCTGACTGTGGTATCTCCTGATTATAAAACACTGGCTTTTCTTTCTGTCAACACTGGGGCCACACCCGGCATCTGGCCTGGTTTGGGAACTCTGGAATCATTGGGTAATAGGCACCTCCAACCTGGCGAGGATTCCTCGGTGAACAATGCAGTGAGGCCCATGACCCTGCCAGACTGCAGGAGGAAGGAATAAACGGGACCATTAACTTCAAAGCCCCTGAGGCTGCCAGACCTCCCTAATCTGACAATGGACAGGAAGGAGACTGAGACTGGATAGTAAAACATGACCAGACGAGCCTGCTTGAGTGACCCTGGAGCTGGGAGACACACACTGCCGACAGGGGGGCCTGATTTCCACAGGCTACCAGGATATCACAAAGTCACCTTCCATGAGGGGCTGTTCCAATCTGCAGGCCTGTGGAGACCCAAAGTCAAAGGAGCCAAGGGTTAAGGTTGCAGTTACTCTGCCAAGGGAACCCGGTCTGGCTGGGGTGGAGGGAGGGGCTGGGAAATCCATTAAATATTTTTGTTACACAGGTTTCGCTCCCCTTGTAACACTGTCAAGGACATTTTACTAATGTCTTGGACCCAGGAATCCTGGGCTGTGCATATGTGGACCGTGAGGGCAAGGCAGAGATGCAGGAGATGTGGGAATCATCCAGCAGGGATCCACCCAGGGTTTGGACAAGGAGAAAGTTACACAGGACGGGGAAAAGGCCAGATTGGAAACTGAGCCAGGAGGATCTGCTGGAGGGCAGAGTGTGTGTGCAATCCCATTTACTGACATAGGGAACTTCGCACCCATGGATGCATTGTCTCCCCCCAGGTCCCCTAGCAGGTAAAGCTAAGGCTCAGCATAAGACCTCCTCAGACTTGGCTCTTGGCTTTGATTCTCACCCATTGATGATCTCAGGCAAGTTAGTTAACCCCAGATGCCTTATCTGCAAAATGTTGTTAAGGGTAGTATGTATCCTCTTGGTAGGGTTATGTGAAGATCAAATTGCAATAATGACAGGTGTGTACAGGGTGCTGAATAAATCCTGTGGACTCATCAATTTATTTTCTATGGACTATGTTGTAGTCAAGAGTTGTAAAGAGAACAACCAGAATTAGGACATAGAATTTTATAATATTATTTTATAATGGTCACCCAGAGTTAACACAGGAAAGGGCAGGAAATCTGTCCACAACACTAAAGACTCAGAATATTTTGCCAAGGGCCTGGATCCCACAGCAATGTCTTGCATGAGTCCAAATGAAGACCCAGCACTCATGACAATGCCTCCCATGAGTCCAACTGGAGGTCTGGAGCCCACAAAAAGGACTTACACCAGTCTCTTTTATGGATCCATGATGAGAAGGCCCAAAGGTCAGCGGTGGAAGCTAGAAAGTCTATGCCAGCAGGGTGAAGGAGCTGTGCTGGTAGGTTGAAGGTTCTACACTGGAGCAAAGAAGTCAATACTCACAACAAAGACCAGGGCTGTCCTGAAAAGCACCACAGCCATTCTCAGCGACACGGAGGTCCTTGTGCTCCTGTAACAATAAGAACAGTAGAGTACATGCCAGGAAGCTGGAGTGACGAGTTCATCCTGGAGATCAAGTGGCACACATCTTCCCCTCCAGAGCCAGGAAGTGTTGTAAGGACCAGAGCTCCCCAAAGTGAACCGCAGCCATTCTCACCAACAAGGTCCTGAGCTCCTTTGATGACAGTGATCAAACTCACACTGTGGAAGCTAGTCATGATGAGCTCCTCCAGGAGAACCAACAGCTCAAACAGCAACACATAGGAGAAGCCACAATATCTAACTTCTCCTTCTCCACGTCTCTATTTATGCTGGCAACTTTCCTCAGGTGGAACATCTATGTTCAGCACTATGCTGATTTAATTTAGCTGGCGTTAAGTTGACCACCAGTTTTTAATCCATAACAGAGTATGTGTATATAGTGTTTTCTAGGCCTCAAATCAGCATTTTTTGTGAGCTGCCTAGAAAAATCTTTCAAAAATATTTTTAATGGCTACACAATATTCTATCACGCAGATAAGGTAATAAGCCTTTATTTATAATCCTTCTGTTTTAGCCTCTTGAGTTGGAATTACAGGCATGTGCCACTATTACAGTTGAATAGTTCAAAGAATGGTCCAGGTTCTTGGGTGCAATGAGGCAAGAATGGCCAAGCATACACCTCATGCATGTAAGTGGCTACATGTATTGGTGACCACAGGACAGCAGGAGCAGAAGTGGGCAGAAGGGCTAAGGGGAAAAGGAGGAGGAAGAGGAACTCAAGGAGGGAGGCGAAGCTGCTGCCATGGTGGTGAAGTTCTCCATGGAGCTGGAGATTAATGCTGCTGGTGTAGGTGTGCGGGAAGGTGTTTGGACTGGTGAGTCACCTCCAAGTCTCCAAGCTGTGTTGGGCCCCAGGTTGAGGCCCATCACTTTACTAGAGAACAGAACACAAGCTACTCAAGCATATAAGAAATTACAAGATAGGCTTAGGTTGGTCAGCCACAGAGCTGGATGAGGAAGCGTGCAGAGGGGTCTGCACACCCAAGGCGGTGCAAGCTCGGTGCAAGGTCTGGAGCTCACTGCAGTGTCCTGCTCAAGTCCGCATCAGGAGGGCCATGGGTCTACACCGGAAGGCGGAAGGAGCCAAATCGGAAGCTGAAGAGCCTGTGCTGGAAGTCAGGAGGATGTCCAAGCTCAAGGTGAGTCTGTCCTTCCCCATTCCCCTTTTATACCAACCAGCCCAAGAGCCAGCCTACGGTGTGTCCTCTGCACCCAAGGGTATAGAATTGCTGAGCCAACTCAGGTAAGCTTCTGAACTCTCAGTTGACACAATCAACCGCTACACCCTTGTATTCCAGGTGCCTCCCATTTGTCTCTCACTGGTGCCAATGATCTGCTGCCTGGGTCATCCAGACCACCTAAGATGCGGTTCGCAAACTCATTAGGGTGGTGTGGCCCTTAGACTTGAAGGAGGGGAAGCAAGTGGCTCCCCCGACCTTCCTGGACAGGTTTTCTAACTGTACTACATGGAATCCCACTAAGCCTCCAGTTCTAAAAAATACAAATATCTGTACTTTGTATTTCTTCTTGTACTGTCCTTTACCCATCTTCTTGTCGGGGCATTAGAATTTCACTGGAGGAAGAATTATGGATTGAAACTACCGAACCTTATTCTGTTGAATTTTTTTCACCTTTTCTTGCTGTCTTTACATTTCATGTTGGATTTTTTATGGTCTCTGGGATAATACTAAACTCTGATTTTCCTCTGTGAAAGTCTACATTTCCAGATCATGTGCATGTGCGTGTGCGTGTGTGTGTGTGTGTGCTGAGCGCAGGTGTCAGGTCTGCCTCTGCCTGTGCTTGTCATGTGGCCTTGGGCATGTGACATCTCCTCTCAGATCACAGCTCCCCATCTGTCAGCAGGGGCACGGCTGGCCATCTGAGCATCCTCCCGACTCTGACATTCTGTGCTGTAACTACAACAGTCTCTTAGTGGCCTCTCCATTTTGGTGGCTCCCTGGCCCCCAGTTTAGTGGGGCACAACTAACCCCAGTTTTATGAAAGAACCCTTCTGTGTGTGCTGCCGGGGTCCTGCAGCAGTCTTCCACCCATCGGCAGCCATGAGCCTGCCTGTAGCTCGGGCCTTCGCCTGCTGTTGCCTGTCAGAATGGATATTGTGATTCCTTGGACAGTTTTCTCAGGTCATTGCTTTTGCTGGGAATGTTCCCACACCCTGCATGTTACAAAGAAAAACCATGCCTGTTTCTGAATCTGCTCCCTATAGCCCTCTGTAACTATTTCCTGGCCCAGAGGAATTTTTCTCTTTTGAACTACGTTATTTCTCATATTCATGGGTATATGATTGTTATTTTCATATTATTTAATGAACAGCAGTATACAAATCTCTGGGGTAATATGAAAGGCTACTGAAGTAAGGAGTACAAACTGGCAGCCAGTACTATGTTTTTAGATCCTGATTTTCATCTTCTTTCAAAAAATCTGAAGGCCAGTCCCAGCACTTGGGAGGCTGAGGCAGGAGGATCACTGCAAATTTGACACCAGCCTGAGCAACAAAGTGAGCTCAAGGCCAGCCTGAACTGCATAGCAAGACCTTATCTCAAAAAGTCAAAAAAACAGAAACAAACAAAAGTCAGATCTAGCTTGTGTTCTGGCGACTGAACCCAGGATGTTTGCACTGAGTTATATCTCCATCCTGTTTTTATTTTCTATTTATAAGATGGGGTTTCATCAAAGTAGCTCAAAGCTGGGCTCAAACTTTCGGATCTTTCTACCCCAAGCCTTCCAGAGTGCTAAGATTACAGCTCTGTGGCACCATGCCCCGTTTATCTTCTTTACAAATAAGAGCCAGCAAGCTGCAGCCCGTAGGTCAAATCTGACCTGGTGCCTATTCATGCAAATGAAATTTTACTGAGCTGCAGCCATGCGCATCAGTTTATGTGTTCTCGGTGGCTGCATGGTTGCTCTTCTGGCAGAGGCGAATTGTTGCAAAGGGAAGTGTGTGGCCTGGAAAGCTGTTTTATCAGGTAGCCCTTTACATAAAAGGCTTGCAACATGGAGAGACACCCCTTCCATGCAGCCTGTTCCAGTAACCGCCACCACGAGCCCATCTCAAACCTGGCCAGCTGCAAGTTTATTCTGCTCTCTAAGGTCCATGAATCATTTGAGTATTTTGTTCCTATTCATCTTCTGCAGCACCCCCTAATACAGCATGAAAGCCATTATGCCAGGTAAGCAAAGCAATCTCTAAAAAATAACTAGAAACATTCTATTGCCAGCACACACTTGGATGGCCAAGTTTAACAATATTCCTTAGTAACTGCAGCTACTGACACTGGCTTCCTATAGTAGAAAGCCTGAGGTATGAAGAAAGAATCCCTGGATTTGGATTCCATCCGGGCTGCCTCTGTGAGCTGGGTCACCTCAGAAAGCAAGGCTGTCTTTGTTGCCTCATTTAAAACACAGGATGTCGACAGTACCTGCCCTTGGGTTGATGAAAGGAGCAAGTTCACTCGGCTAGTGTTTATTAGTTCCTGCTCTGTGCCAGGCACTGCATTGAGCTCTTGCGGTACGCTGGTGAAGAGAGCCAGCACCATGTTCACTGGTGTGGAGCTTCTAAAGCAGAGGGAGAATGGACCAAGTGGCAGACACCCGAAACGTTTGTTGTGTAACAGCTGGCTCCATGTCTGGGTTCAGCCAGAGCTGTGGACTGGTTCAGAGTTCATAGTGGGTGCAGAACCTTCTTTGATGCAGCTGGAATTAGCTTGGCCCTCAGGCAAGCACAATCTAGAAATAAAGGACGCATAGCTCCAAAGCCAAGGTGGGGTGGGACTCAGAGGACAAAGCCTCTGAGATCTTTGTGCAGAGCTCCCAGGTCCCGATGGGAAAAGCCCCAGAGCACAGAAGTGAGGCTGCTAACCATTTTTGTTGACATAGAACCTTCCCTGTCTTGCTTTTCCAGCTTTCCAAAAGGCATCATGAGTGACAGTAAGAATCCAGCCTGAGCAGAGGAGCAGCTGTGAGTGCAGAGGCTCAGAGCTGGAATGGGCTTTGCATAAGAGGAAAGGAAAGGGGTTTGGGGAGGAGGAAATGAGGCGGAGAGGGAGGCTGGATTGTGAGGGCCTCTGTTGTAATCCACGTGTAGTGATTAGAGAAGTCATTGGAGGGTTTTAAGCAGAGTACCACAGACTGAGCTGCAGTTTTCCAATATGCCCCTGGCTGCAGCATGAGAATGGGTTAGAGGGGGAGCAGAGGCAGGGCGCCCGTGAAGGAAGCTGCTGCAGAGCTCCAGAAAGTGAGGATGGCGGGTTGCCCGGGTGTTACAGCACCGCAGATAGATTTGGAGTGTGCTTTGCAAAGAATAATAGCAAACACAACTTAGTCATACAGTATGCAAGGCAGTCTTCTAGGATATGAGTAAATTAAATCATTGAATGGTTACTCTTCTTAACCCCATTTTACAGATGGGGAAACCAAAGCACGGAAAGATTGGGTAGTTTACCGAGGTCACCCAGAGTAGAAACTGGAGCGGAGACCACTTGGCCCCAATGACATTCTCCTGTCTCTCCAGAACTCACCTGCTTGCTGATGGAATAGAAGTGAGGTCAAGGACAAGAGAAAGCTAAACTGGAGCCCCAGATTGTCAGGGGCTCAGGGAAATTTATAGGAAGCCAATGTTTAGTACTAAGCACTGGACCCCAACAGACCAGATCCAACCAGAATGGAGTCATTTGTGCAAGAAGCATGTGATTAACTGAACTTGGAATCGGGCCCTCCAAAACAGGAGATTCGTGGCATGTAGCCTCCTTTATTGCGGGTCGTGCCCCTCTTCCCCATGCTCAAGGATTCTAGCTCCCTGGCTCCACCGTCTCTCTGTGACACAGTTCCTGTTTTGAGTCTGTCTTTGCAGAGAGGAAACAGGTGGGTGCACCTTCCAAGGCTGACCTCCTTTCCACTAGTCACCTGCCTTGCACCTCACTCAGCCACTCGGAATGCTTGGTCACTCTCTGT